CCATCACGAGTTCAAGTATTTGGAGAATTTAGCCAACCTCTTGGAGAATGTATTTTCCCTTCTTCTTAAAAATGGAGAGGATGAGAGGCCAGAGAGATAGTTGCAGAGCTAAGGCTCTTTCCTTACATCTGAGTCGCCCTTGGCTGGGTCTCCGACACCACATATGGTCCCCTGAGCACTGTACGGGTGGCTCACAGGCAGGAAGCAAAATCTCCCCCTGAGCACCCCAGGTATGTCTCAACATCCCCTCCACCCGCCAGGGGGGAGGAAAATACCTGTTTTAGGGGACTTTTGTATTAAGTAAAATATTTAAAGTACAGTCTTGATGCATAGTTCATACTCAATTCATAAAGGGTATATATATATAGCACCGTAGCACTGTTCTCCCATTGTTCATCGATTTGCTCGAGTGGACACCAGTCACGTCTTCATTGTGAGACTTGTTGTTACTGTTTTTGGCATATCGAATACACCACGGGGAGCATGCCAGGCTCGGCCGTGTGGGCGGGATACTCTCGGTAGCTTGCCAGGCTCTTCCAAAAATATGGAGGAATTCAACCCGGGTGGGCCGCATGCAAGGCAAACGCCCTACCCACTGTACTATCACTCCAGCCTAAAGGGCATATATAAAAGTTATAAAGCAGGGGGCTAAGGAAAGTAATAAGAGTAGTTTACCAGTATATTTAAATGTTTTGCTTCCCAGGGGGCCAAGGAAATTATATTTATCACCCAAGAGTCAACGTTGAAGTGTGTGAGTAAACAATATAAAAGGTATTGGCAACTTTTTCTAATGTTAGAAAAAAAAGGGTATTTCTGGAAATACAGAGCATTGAGTTTAACTTCAATGCACAGCAATAATCTGGAAGTGAGGTTGAGATCGAGCAGATAGTTGAGATCATAGGACCACATTGGGGGTCTGCTAAGAAGAAACCTTCACCAGTCCCCGTGTCCCTTTTGGCCAGTATTGTGTGGTATGTAAGACCAAGGAATGTCATTTCAGCGGAGAATCGGGTTGTCTGCTGGAGGATAGTGGCAAAACACTTCACAGCAGTGAAAGCCAGCTGACTGCTGTCAGGGTTATGTTGGTGGGGGGTCACAGCCAGTAGATTTCTGTCAGGGTTATGTTGGTGGGGTCACAGCGAGCGGATTTCTGTTAGGGGTATGTTGGTGGGAGTCACAGTGAACAGATTTCTGTCAGGGTTATATTGATGGAGGGTCACAGCAAGTGGATTTCTGTCAGGGTTATGTTTATAAGGGGTCACATCGAGCAGATTTCTGTCAGGGTTATGTTGATGGGGATCACAGGAGCAGATTCTGTCAGGGTCATGTTGGTGGGGATCACAACCAACCGATTGCTGTCAGGGTTGGTTCTACAGGAGTCTCTGAGGGAATCCATGAGCTCCGACCTATAGCTTCTCCATTCAAGACATTATAGATTTTGGTGAAGATCTGTGTGCCAGTCAGACATGCGCATTGAAAGGGGGGTGGTCTATACAGTGCACGAGAGAATCATAATTTAGAGATTCCTTATCTTTGGAAACATTGCTTCAAGCCTGGAAGGACTACTTGAGTATAGCTACAAGTGACCAGCTCAGGACACGGAACCTGAGTAAGGATGGGCACCTTGTTTGGAGGAAGTTAAAGGACCATTTGAGCTCTGTGAGCTGATAATTTGACTGACCCTGAGCTTGATATGCTTGTATTTGTTCATGCCTTCATTCGTTCACCAAATGTGGATTAAAGGTGCCGCCCACCATGCACACGCTGGGCTTTGGGATGATGGCGTGGACAGAGGAGTAAACAATCCCTGGAGAGAGAGAGAGAGCTTAGATTTCTTACAACGCCAATAGCTATGCAACCACTTTGTGAAAATGAACCTTATGTTGGGGCCGTGTAAACATAGCGGATAAGGCACTGGCCTTGTACGTGGCCTACTCAGGTTTGGTCTCCGGCACCACAGTTGGTCCCCTTGCCCCACCAGGAGTCAGCTCTGAGTGCAGTTAGGTGTGGGCCCCCCAGCCCCACCCACACCCCCCAAAAAGAACCTAGTGCTGACTTTATTTGCAAAAGTATAACCTCCAGTTCATGATGGTTTACCATACTGCTTTAGTTTCTAACACTCTTCTTTTTTTTTTATTGTAGGAGTATTGGTATTTGTTCAGCCATTGATTAAGCTGATTGAATTGGGCCATTGATTAAGCTGATTGAATTGGGCATGAACTCCACGTTATTTTTACTTTAAAAAACATTTTTTAATTGGTTATTTGTGAGATAGGCCATTACAAAGCTGTTCATAATTGGGTTTCAGTCATACAATGATCCAGCACCCATCCGCCCACCACACCAGTGTCCATTTCCCACCACCAATGTCCCCTATTTCCCTCTCACCATCCCCCAACTCCCAAGCCCCCACCCCCAGCTTCCCTCTATGGGAGGCACTTTCCATCTTGCTCTCTCCTTTTCCTTCTGTGCATTATAGTTTGCAATACAGGTCAACACTCTATTCTCGATGCTTTATTTTTTCCCGGATCATTACTTGCACTTCTGAATACCATCATCTGGGCAGATAAGAGCAACAGTGATGTGGGTGGATAGAAACCAGATTGTCGGGGACTGATCAACAGCTCGAGAGGACCAGGCACAAGCCTTCTGGCCTGAGATCTCTGCAGGGGAGCGGGAGGGGGTGGAGGCTGCCCCCCCAGGGCTCCCAGAGGCCTCTGCTTAAGGAGTGTCCTCCCCGGCCACCTGGGTGAGCGCGCCCAGGCCTGGGAGGGCTCTCGTGAGTCATGCGGGGGGCTCTTAGTGGCCAGGCCGTGCCTCCTTGCCAGGCACCCGGTTGAAGAGCTGACCGAGATCCGTCGGGAACGGCAGAACCCCGTGCAATCTGTACAGGGGAGCCGGTGCCTGGTGGGGAGGCCCGGTGACGCTTTCACCCTGTCCTGACACCAGCTGAAACGGTTTGACTCCTTTTCCTGGGGTGCAGTGACGAAGCCCTGGTAGGGATTTTTTGAAATCTTTGAAATTTTTTGAAAAAGTTATGAAATTTTTTAAATTTTTGAAATTTCTCATGTGCTTCTTCAGACGTTTCCCATTCCCGGCTGCCTCTGTCCACTATTTTTTTGAGGCCTGGATTCCCAGACACGTTCTGGATTCCATTGAATTAGTACTGTTCTACGGACCTTACTTAACTGGGTCCGAGTAGCCTCATGGGTCTCTCTGAGAGTTTGAGTGGCACTTTTTGTTTTAGAAGGGAGGGGCCCTTCCCACCGGTGTGGGCATCCAAGGTGTCCGGGCTGCTCTGGGCAGTGCTCGGGCAACCTGGCAGGGCAATTAAATGCTCTGGTCTGAGCATGCAGGAGGGCAGAGAGCACCAGCCCTGTGGGACACAGCGACCAGGCCACTCTGGACATTGAACCCGGGTCCTGCATACACAGCGCTTCCCTCTGACCCCCGTCCTCTCTCTGACCTGCACCTGTTCGACCTTTTGAAGGCTCACTTGCCTTTGTCTTGCTTTCTCCCAGACACGTAGCAGGACCATGGCACATGCCCATTGATTCATTCGTTAGTTAAGAGGAACTAGCCAGGAGAAGTAGCAATCCAGCCCCTGCGAGAACTCATGGAAGACACCGTGAGTTACATCAGCTTTAATTTCTCCATTCCTGCAGCGAAGAAGAGATTCTGGGGGCTGGAGCAATAACACAGAGGGTAGGGCATTTGCCTTGCATGTGGCCAACCTGGGTTCGATTCCCAGCATCCCATATAGTCCCCTGAGCAGGTCTGGTGTCACTTTGTGTGCCTGGGAACCACAAGCACAAACCTTGTCGTCCATGCTCTAGCCTGCGAGAGGAGTAAGTTTGCATCCAGTGAAGAGTTTGGCCAGTTCTGATGGACCTGAGACCCAGACCAGGACTCCATCGTTTGCGTTGGTCCTGCAGGACAGCCAGATTTGAATGATTTGGACCCAGTCCAGGGATCCCCCTGAAAACGTCAGGCAGACTGGGGTTCTGGTGACCCAGCAGTGATCACTCACCCCACTGGGCTGTTCGTGCAGGAACTTAGAGATGAGGAGGAGCAGGGGAGAGCACCAGGATGTGGGTTGGGGAGCAGCGCTCTGCACGCTTCAGTGTTAAGAATTTGCACTCCGTCTAAGGACACCCGTTTTCCAGTTTTTACATCCCCTGGCATTTCTCAAATCCTGTGTGACACCAGTGATTCAGATGGCTCCTCCCAAAAGACCAAGTCCCCAGGGGCTCCCTAGGTGGTGGTGGCTGAACCGGGGACAGAGGGACACTGCATGTAAGGCCAGCCCCTAACCCCCGCCCACCCCTGCTGTCCAGGCTCCGGCCACTGTCTGCTATTCCTGCTGAAGCTTCCCCCTTCCGAGGGCATCCCGGGCCAGCCTGGGGCCAGTTAGAATCTTATTGACCTCAGTCCTCGGGTCCCCAGAGGCGCATCCAGGCTTCATGCTCTGGGGCAGCTTTAGGACTGGGGATGGAGTAACTTTTTCCCCCCCTTTTTTATTGATTCACTGTGAAATACAATTACAAAGCTTTCATGTTTGAGGTCATACAATGATCACCCACCCATCCCTTCACCAATGCACGTTTTCCACCACCAGAATCCCCAGTATCTCCCCCATTCCAGCCTTCCCCTGCCTGTGTGGCAGACAATTTGCACAATGCTCTCTCTCTACTATGATTACATTCAATATTTCGACACCAGTCCTACCACCACTCAAACCTGCCGAAGAGGCAATTCTAGACAATTTGTTTTGTATTGCTTGTTATGGACAGCATATAATGCTGTGCGGGCAAAAGAGCAGCCACACGCTCTAGGAATTCCAAAATTTTAATTATTAGGGTCTGGAGAGTTCTCTGCAACGAGCTTCGTGTGTGTGTCCTGGAGTAACTTCTTGAATTCACGTCTTGGGTTCACGATGCCTCCTCTGCCTGCCTCGTGCTGATGTGGCTGCAGGTTGACGTGTCTCTCTTTCCTTTCAGAATCAAGCATGAAAACATCGTGGCCCTGGAAGACATCTATGAAAGCCCAAACCACCTGTACCTGGTCATGCAGCTGTAAGTACCTGGATCCACAGATGCCCAGCTCTGTGTGCCCAGGGGCCCAAAGGGCCAGAGGGTGAAATGAATGAAGGTGTGGGGAGAGGGTGTGCAGGAGGGACCAGGGAGTGCTCCCGAGGTAGAGGGGAAAGCCAAGGCCACTGGGAGAAGTGTGGTGTGCATCCTTGGTGTAGCCCGCGCTGCTGGCCTAGAAGCACATTCTAGAGCCCTGCCCAGAGCACGGTGCCCCTGACTCTGGTGGCCCCGTCCTGCTTGTCTCTCTGATGCCTGCTTGTCCAAATGTTGCTTCCTGAAAGCATGCCAGCTGGCCTGCTGGGAAGTACATGCTGCTCCTGTCTCCAGGAGAAACTCCCACCCTCGCCTTCGTTTCAGGGACACCGGGGGAGGGTGCTGATGGCAGCTGGGCTCTGTTCTGTCCCTTCTACTTCCCTGCTGGCAGATCAGGGCACACGTGACTGAACGGGAATTCCAGTCAGACTCGAGAGAAGAACGTCCGGAGCCCAGTCACGGCCTTACTCGCTCCCGCTAAGAGCATTTCTGCACTCCAGTAACTCTGGAGGTTAACTCTTACTCTGGGAGGAAGCATGTGGACTGTAGAGATAGAGCCTGGCCATGGTGTTTTTTTCCTTTAAAAAAAAAATCAGTGAATTTCTCCTCCCTAGTCACACAAGTGCTTTGACTCTTAAGTGACGTCATTCCCGGGAGTTGCCCAGAATTCCATGGGCCAGATTCAGGGATGGGAACTTGGGAAGAGTGCTGTATGTTCTCCCTGACCTGCATGAATATTCTAAAACACCACAGAGGGTTGATGACAGAAGGGTTTTTATTAAAGGTTATGTCTTTACTTCAAATCCATTCTTTGTCGGTGGTTTTCAGCCTTTGGATGGCTAGAGCTATGAGAAGCATTGAGGGTTAGGTTAACAATGTGTTTACCTGTCCTCATTTGAGTCTTTTCACCATACTTGCTTGTTGTGAGTTCTTGGGACTTAAGCACAGATCACATTCATGTCTAATCTTTCAAGGGACTGCGTTAAAACTGGAGTCACAACTGGAGTCTCTCATTTTTGGGAACAGAATTCAATTCAGTGAATTGACCCAAAAAATGCATTTCCTGTGTGTTCTCATTTTCCTGGGGGTGGTTTAGGCACCACGTTCACTCAAATCATGTTAGGGTACAAGTTAAGTACTCGTCAGTAAAAGCACATGCACTCGGTGACTCAGTCACTATCTTTAGAGTATTTTCATAAGTGTGACACGTTTGTGCAAACTTTCTTTAATGTTGGCAGTGTCGGGGATAAACACCAGGGCCTCATATGTACAAGGCCAACACTCCCCTCTCCCCACCCCAGACCAGCGTGGTGGCAGAACCCACCCAGACTGGAAGATGATCATTCTGTACCATGTGACTTGTCATGGCAGGGACACGCAGCTTTAGAGGTCTGTGTGTTATTATCAGCCCTGAGCCTGGGAGTGTCTGCAGACTGTGGCACACGTCTGGTACAGGATGTCCCGGTCAGGACCGAGGCTGGTGGCCCTCACTCTTCCAGTCCAGTTTCTGTGATTCAGCACAGGGAAGAATCCAGATGCCAGTGATGACATTCACTGGGCATGCCATTCACTGGGACAGACATCAAGACGGGCAGTTCCGCGCCCCGTGCAGAGAGGGGACCCCACGTGTGTAGGTGGAAGGCCACCGCTGACAGCTCGAGTGTGGGCGTGCTCGGGAGGGAAGGGGAGCAGCAGCCTTTATGGAACAGAATCTTTCCGCTTCTGTAGGTTAGGAAGGGCGGTGGTTGCCGTGACAACGGTGGGCCACCAAGGCTGCAGTGTGCCCATTTCTGGACTCCCAGAAGCTGGGATCAAAGTGGTGGCTTTTCATTGATGAGTTGAGGCCGCTGCTGCTGGCATAACTGGAGCCCTGAGCCCTGTCCACCTTGCAGGGCTCTGGGATACTCCTCCCCGGGTCTGCCCAGGCCCACATGCCCACTTGCCAGCTCCTCCTTCAGTGGCGCCCTAATGCCCAGGGAGCGAGATGTGCCTACTTCCGCTTCCAGTCATCAGCACTTCCTCTTCCTATGGACACTTCCAACTAACAGCACTTCCACTTCCAGTTAGGCCCTTCCTAGGGAGCATCCACTTTCCCCATTTCTGGGCCTCTCATGTGACTGTGCTCTGTACCCAGCTTGGGCCTCCCAGAATCCCCGGAGTCACTTCCTCCCAGGTCCTCACAGCCCAGGAATAAGCCCAGGACATTCTTGGTGATGGGGGGCGTTTCCCCACTTCCTTCCTTTCTAGCTATCTCTCCAGCCGACTCAGGTTCGATTCCTCCGCCCCTCTCGGAGAGCCCGGCAAGCTACCGAGAGTATTCGATATGCCAGACACAGTAACAACCAAGTCTCCAATGGAGACGTTACTGGGCCCGCTCGAGCAAATCGACGATCAACGGGAGGGCCTTTACTTTACTTTACTTACTTCCTTTCTAGAATAGATTGTTCCATGAAGTAAGTCCACATCAAACGGAAGAACAGGAGAAGGAGGAATCTGTGGGCAGGAGCCCCTAAAAATTGGGGTCTCCCAGAAGTGGCCCAAAGCAGCACACTTCCCTGCCTTTTTTAGACAAAGACGGGATTTGTCAAGAGCTGAGCAGACAAGGGGGTCAGGGTTTGAGTTGGTGAGTCTGCGAAGAAAGAGCAGGTTGGTTTATTCCACCTTCTGAGACCTAAAGGCAGCCCTGCCACTGCCTTTTCCAAGCTGGTCTCCTGTCTCCAGGGGATCAGAGGCTGGTCAGAGTGCCCCTTGGCTTGGCACAAGAATTTGTGATGCTTGTGCCAGGGCCAGGGCCAGCCTACCCCTGCCGCCTCTATTGATGTAGCCATTGTGTTCCTTTCATTGGTACTGCAAATTAAATGTGCAGATACTTGAATCCAAAGCTATATACATTCACTTGGTTTACTCTCTGTTTATAGAACTGGAACTTAAAAAAAAAAAAAACTGGGCACATATGCTGCCTAAGCCCTTGTGCCGCTTGCGTCCGTGTGGCCGAGCACATGCGGTACCCGAGAACATGGGTCGCCCACATCTCCCCTCTTGGAATGCGGACTTTCATGCTTTCCTGTCTAATGCTGGGGTGTGTGTAGGGGTTCTCTCCACCCTTGGAGAAGCCCGGGTTCTCTCTTGAGCACGTTAATCTCCACTCTCTCTCACTTTCTGCCTCTCCTTCCCTTCAAAACCTCCAAATAAAAACTGTGTAAATTATTAAAAAAAAACTGGCTTAAAAGGGCCCCAAATATGAAAATCTCAGCTCTGTTCCCCCAAGCCCCCTTTAGTAGTGGTGGTCTGGGGGGTTGAAGCCAGCAAAGCAGATGCCATCTCTGGGCAGCATTGCCCTCGCCCTGCCTTCATGAGCTGGTTAGTTAGATATTTCGTTTTGCTTTTTGGGTCACACCCGGCGATGCTCTGGGGTTACTCCTGCCCTGCACTCAGGAATTACTCCTGGCGGTGCTCAGGGGACCATATGGGATGCTGGGAATCTAACCGGGGGGTGGCCACGTGGGAGGCAAACGCCCTCCCGCCCACTGTACTATTGCTCCAGTCCCATGAGCCGGTTCTTTATCGGCATCTCTATCTTTCTGTCCCTATGACTCAGCCCATGTCTTCATTTGTAAGATAACATTCAAAAGTAGATTTAAATTCTGCCTCTCGAAGCAACTGGATTGTATCTATACCAGCAGTTTCTGTAACAGCGAGTTGGTGTGAAGCCTCAGAGTAGGTAGAAGGGGACGAGCGTGAGCTGGGTGGGGTTGCTCTGTGAGCAACCTTCCAGTCTGGCCCTCCCAAACTTCTGCACAAGCTTAGGACATCCTGCACACAGCCACACTGTGTTAAGTCTGTAGGGTCATTCCGTGTAGGACCAAGGAGATGGCTCGAGGCTGGAACACATGGTTGGAAGTAGGAGCCTCAGTTTCCATCCGCGGGGGACTGGGAGTACATGCATACACACACACACACACACACACACACACACAGACACACACACACACTCACACATGTAATCTGTATTCATGCTTTACTACTTGAGTCTTATCCCTGACCTGTTTATCTTTTTGGGTATAGTGTCTAATCACATGTTTTGCCCATTTTTTAATTAGATCATGTATCATTATATCATTGGGTGAAAAACTGTTCTTTATATATACTTCTCTTTGTCAGATACAAGTAATGAATATGTAACTTATTTTTTTTTTTGCTTTTTTGGTCACACCCGGCGATGCACAGGAGTTACTCCTGGTTCATGCACTCAGGAATTACTCCTGGTGGTGCTTGGGGGACCATATGGGATGCTGGGAATCAAGCCCGGGTCAGCCGCATGCAAGGCAGACGCCCTACCTGCTGTGCTATCACTCCAGCCCCTGAATATGTAACTTTTGTCTGGGTTGGAGGGGGTGGGGCACACCTGGCTGTGCTCAGGGCTTACTCCTGACTCTTTGCTTAGGGATCACTCCTGGTAGTGCTCAGGAGACCATATGTGGTGTTGGGATTTGACCCAAGACCTCATATACACAAAGAAGATTCTCCACCACTTGAACCACATCCCCCGGCCTAAATGATATCATTTAATAAAACAGCTTTTTGAGCTGGAGCCATAGTACAGCAGGTAGGATGCTTGCCTTGCATTTGGCCAACCTGAGTTCATTCTCCAGCATCCCATATGGTGCCCTGAGCACTGCCAGGAGTAATTCCTGAGTTCCCGAGTGCAGAGCCAGGAGTAACCTCTGAGCACACTGGGTGTGGTCCCCAAACAAAATAAAATAAAATGAAAAGCAGCTTCACAGCAGCCTTGCACCTTCAACGTACCCCATAAGCACCTGTCAGCTTGTGGCCTTGACTGCCCTGTCAGCTTGTGGGCCACCCCCTCCAGTCTCAGCTCGGGCCCCTTGGGGAGACACTCGCCCCTGTCTGCATCAGCCAGGCCCCTCTCCTCCACCTTCTTGCTGCTC